TGTCTCCGGAGGGCGCGAGGTGGGGGGACATTGAATCTAACACAGTTGCAACCCTCTGAGTCCTACAGATTGGTGTAGGATCAAGTGACAAGACCCACAGGATGGCATTTGGTTAAACCACACAGAAACTGAAAGAGTGGTGGTTTTTAAACAGCTTTACTTCCTCAGACTTTTTCCTTCCCTGTTTCCCAAAATTCATTCCCCCTCTACCCAACTGGCAACTAGCTCCCCACCTGTCCTTGGGTGAATGTACCAGACCCTCTCAAAATACAAAAGCCAAAACCCTTGGACCTAAAGAAAACATGAAAGTTCCCTGTGTTGGAACAGTCAGCCAGACAAGCACTAGGAGTCAGCGGGAGGCTCCTGGGAAAGTGATACTCTCTTTCTCTATTTCTGCACTCCTGTACCTCACCTCATCCTTGGGGCCTACAAATTAGTGCCATTGGACTCTACCACTGAAGTCCCCAAGACATAAAAATAGAGACCCACGGCTCTCTATCACCACTCCCACATTTAGTTGATCACCAGGTCCTAGCAAGGGTCCCTCCGAAATCCTTTCTGGAATTTACTTCCCACAGTTCTTTCTGTGATTGTATCAAATTTCTGGAACCTTAACTATCATATGCCTTGGTGTAGTTTTTTATTTTTTGTTTTTGTTTTTTGAGTTCTATATGCCTCATTTATCTCTAGATTAAATTCTTGTAGGGGGTAATTGCAAGGGTCTTGAGACAGAGTCTCCCTAGGTACTCCAGCTTTACTTGGCCTTGAACGCATTATGTAGCCAAGGCTGGCTTTGAACTCCTGCCTCAGCCTCCTGAGTGCTGGAATTTATAAATTATGCCACCATAAGCAACTCTAGGTCAAATTCTTTTTCCCTGCTTGTGATGTTTTTTGTCATGACTTCTGTAAATGGGCTTTGCGCTACCTTCTGCCTTTTTCATTGACTCCAATCAATCCTATGTTCTTTGTATCATCTAGTAGCTGTTGGATTGATTTCTCATGGTCCTTACGTAATTTTGAGAAATCTTTTATTTTTATGATCGCTAACTGCAATTCTGTCTTTTATATCTGAATCCATCCTCATGTTAGCTGCATCTACATTCAATAGAATTTTTAATCTCCTGGATATCTGCTTGAATCTTTCTTTCCTATATTGGGAGTTCATGATTTCCGTCATTTTCTTAAGATCCTCTATTTTTTAATCTGTATCTGCTCTAGAGTCTCTTAGCACCTCTTTCATTATGGATACTATGTCTGTAGTTCTCTGAGAAATTACTTCTGATTTGATTTTTTTCTAGAGTCTTGTTCATCTGCTTTGTTACTTCCACTGTTACTACTTCAGAGGCCGGATGAGCAGGTCTCTGGCTTCTCAGATGTAGCTGGGTTTTGGATTTTGAGTCTATTGCAGGATCTTATCTCTTCAATTTATTGAGGATGAGAGATTGCTGCTTACTTGGCCTAGCCCCTGGTTCTCTAGCACTGGCCTATAGTATTTTTTTTGAATAACTCTTAGATAATCTCAGTCTTGGTATACCAGGAAGAACAACTTCTTAGAACAATTATACCACCTTAGCTAAAGTTGTATAATCACCAATAACAATAGCATCAAACACAGCTAGAAAATGACAAGCTAAGGTAACTATTAATTTTCCACCTTTAACTATATAAACTAGATTTGTGGTTATACAACAAAATGTAAAATGAATTGGAAAATTGTATGCAGTAAATAAGCCCTCAATATGGTGACTTTACCCTCATTGGAGAAAATTTAAAATGGAGTAGAGGGAAAAAAATCAAGAAATAAGCTGGGGATTTAACTTAGCGTCATAAGCACCTGCCTGGCAAGCGTGAGGTCACAAGTTCAATCCCCAGTAACAAAAAAAAAAAAAAAAAATAGAAGAGGAAGAGATTAGAAGCAAGGCTGGAAGACAAAAGAAGGTCAAGCAAACTTTGGGAAACTGAAGAAGACAGGAAAAGAGGTGTTCATATGCATATAAAAGTAAGAACAAATAATTAAGAACAAAATTTTAAAGGGAGAAAAAAGAAAATAAATCCTACTTCAAAGTATATCTCCACCATCACTGATAGGCAATATGGGCAAATAAAGTGCAAATCTGAGTTAATCGATCCCAGCAAGCCAGCCACAGCTAGTAGGGTAGTGGATAATCCCAGAAATCCAGCTCCTTTGGTTCTGCTGAAGTTCAGGCTGATTTCTAGCTGTGAGAGCTGGAACCAGCTTTATTCAGCCTGTAGTAATCTGTATGACTCCTGCAGGCTTGAACTTGACTTCCTGCCAATTTGAACTCAGCTCTCTGATGGCCTGTAGACTTGAACTCTAACAGCTTCATCCTGTCACTGGGAGCCAGAGCCCACAGCTGTTCTGCATTCTGAGCTCAGTTGACCCCTCTCCAAGATGGCCATTGGCCAACCCCCCTCTTCTAGGGCATTCCTGATCCCAAATAACTCCCCAGCCAGTGCAGTCCACTGAGCCCATTGCTCCGTTCCTCAGGTGCGTCTGTCTGTGGAGGCCTCTGGGGTGGCCAGCAGGCACTGTGCATCTGCAGGTTCCAGTGCCCCTCCACACAGTGAGTCCAGGTATAGGAAGAAGGCACTGCCTGCCACCTCCGCTTTCTTGATTGAAGTCTCTCTCTTTGCTGTCCCTGTGGGCTTCAGTTCTTACTTCAGATCCTTTCTGGGTCTTTGGTATCTAATAGTTTTTTTTTGTTTTTTGGGTTTTTTGTACCAGAAATTGAATTTAGAACCTTACACTTGCCAACCAGGTCTTATGCTGCGGAGCTCTCTCTCCGGCCCCTTTTTGGATCTTGGGGACATACTTGCCTTCTTCCAGCTTCCTCACATTGCTATATTCCAGTGTCTGGATACCAAATGACACAGTTCTGTGTTTGGAGTCAGATCTTCCCTCCAGTTTTGTCTGCTTCAAGTCACCAGACCCACAGTAGTCACAGTAATCCTTCTAACAAGAAATATGTCTCTTCCCTTTCATACAAACCTTCCAAGCCTTCTAACTGCCCTTATCACCCTTCCCTTCTTCGGCAGGGGGTCTCCTTTACTCTGGGAAGCACACACAAGGTGTCTGACTTGGCTTTTCTCTGAGGCGGCAACAGATCCAGGGGCTTGGCTGCCCCCAGTGCTTACTATATCACAGCACATGGCAGTGTATAGAAGCTCTTATAAGCACAAAGTGAAATGTTCCTACTCAGCTCTTCTCACCCTTCTACTCCACACCCAACCTCTTCAAGTCTCCATGAGTCTGGTTATTTAGTCATCCACATTCACAGTTGTCTCGTCACATGTTCATTCATTCCAAGATCCAGACTCATCCTTCACCAGTATCTACACACTTTGTCATCTCCAAGAAGCATCAGAAGTTTTTAGTTTCTCCTTGGTCCTTAGGATAAGACTAGCTTGGTGAGAAAAGGCATGGCAGAGAAGATCCTGACAACCCCAGCTTCAGGGTCATGTTAACAGGATCCATTGAGAGATTCATCACCTGAAAACCTTGGTTAAAAATTACTGGAACTTTGGGAAAGCCTGGTACTTACTGAACAGACTTTAATGACAGCTATCAGGTTAATTTGTAAGCATTCAGATAGATACAGGTAGAAGGTAAGGCACAGATGTCAAGGAATTTTAAAAAAAGAAGTCAAGGGACTTACTCTAAGATACAGAAAAATAAAAATTATCTCAAGTCTAGATGACAACATTTCAGAATCCTATGGGCACATAAGGCTTTAGGGTGACATCTGTATATAAACCATAACACTATCCAAGAAAGATACTATGAGGCTAGCAGTGATGCAAGATCTAATAGAATGAATACACCAGGTAGAGTGAGCAGTAAAGTAGAAGAAAAAGAAAGGGAATCAGCAGCAGGAAAATAATGCAATGACAGGAATAATTCTCAATGTGAGTAGTCTCAATTTCCAATCAAAACCCACAGATTAGTATAATGTACAAATAAACAAAATTTATTAGTATGTTATATGTATACAAGAAATGCACTTAACCCCCCAAAAGTGTATAGACTAAAACTCAAAAAATTAAAAAGTATTCATGGAATGGGAACTCCCCACCATAAAAAGGCAGGAGTAGCTATCCTATTCTTAAAGTGGACTTTGAACCAAAACTGATCAGAGGAGCAAACAAAGTACATATTGGTTAAAGGAAAAACTCAGCAGGAAGACTTCTCAATTATTAGCATATATGCTTTGGAAATGGTGCACTCTTCATAAAACAAGTACTGCCCAGGCTTGAGGTATAGCCCAATGGCTAGCATGCATAAAGCCCTGGGTTCAAACCCCAGCACCTCACCCCTACTCCCAATAAAATATCACATAAACATCAAACACAAGAAGGGCTGGGATGTAACCCAGTGATTGATGCATGTTTAGCATGTATGAGGCCCTGGGTTCAATCTCCTATATCCTCCCCACCAAAAAAAAATAGTTAAAGGGAAACATCAACCCAATTATAATAGGGAGCCCTAACTCCCCACTGTCACAAATAGATCAACTAGACAAAAAATATCAAAGTTGAACAAAATCTTCAACTCAGTGGACTTAGATATTTACAGTGTCCCACCCAGTGTACACATTCTTCTCAGCAGCACATGGAACTTTCTCCAAAATAAACACAGACACAAACTAGCCAATAAAGCATGTATAAGAAAATGCAAAATAAGTGAAATTATATCATGAATATTATCAGATCATAGCATGGGCAAACCAGAAATGAATGGAAAAAGAAAGCACAGAAATTGTGCATACATTGAAATTAATACACTCTTGATGATTAGTGGGTTACAGTAGAAATCAAGGAAGAAATAAGACAGTTCCTAGAAATAAACAATAATTCCAGTAGAACATATAAGAATTTATTGTACACATTGAAAGCAATCCTAGAGAGAAGTTTGTAACTGTGAATGCCTACATTAGAAAAACAGAGTGAGCCCAAATAAATAACCTAATCATATATTTCAGGATCCTAGAAGACCTGGCATGGTGGCACATACCTGTAATCTCAGCATTCAAGAGGCTGAAACAAGAGGATCACTTGGAGTTCAAGGCCTGCCTGGGCTACAAACTGAGTTCAAGTCCAACCTGAACTGCATAGTGAAACTATCTCAAAAAAGACCAAAATAGAAAAATAAGAACAACCCTGACACAAAGCTAGTACAATAAAAAAGATCACAGCAGAAATCAATGAAATTGAGGCCAAAAAAAAAAAAAATACAAAGGTGGGGGGGGGGGGGCTGGGAACACTGCTCTGAGCCAGTAAGGCCACACCCAGCAGCCCAAATCACCAGAGGACCCACCGGAGGTCCCTGCAGGCCTATCTGGGCCACACCCAGCAACCCCAAGGCGGCCAGCAACTGCCTGCATTCCACCTCGCAAGGGGAAGGTGCACGAGGTGATTTCCAGTGCATGAGGAAGATCTGGAGCATCGCTCAGAGCCTGATAAGGCTCTGCCCTGCATCCCAAATAACCGAAGGACATACCGGAGGTCCCTGCGGGCCTTCTGGGCCATGCCTGGAAACCCCTGGGTGGTCAGCGGCTGCCTATTTCCACCTTACAGGCCGAAAGTGCATGAGGTGATTTCCAGTGCATAGGGAAGCTTTGGTGCATTGCTCCGAGCCTGGAAATAAAGGAAAATGACAAAAAGAGCAAAATGCAATCTCAAACCTCCATCCCATTCCAAGCAAGCCTAGGAGACATGGACATAGAAGAAAATGTAAGCCGTACACCTGAAACTCCTGAAATGATAGCAACTAAAGTAAAGAAACAACTCCAAGAAGCTATAAAAGAACTCAGATCAGAAATAATCTCCCAGGTAAAAGAAAAAATGATAAATGTAATAAAAGAAATGCTGAACACATCTAAAGAAAGCATAGCTTAAAAAATTAGAGGAACAATGTAAAAAGATGGGAACCTTGAATAAACAATATAAGAAACAGAATGCATGAAGCAGATTTAAAGATATACAGAAAATCAAAAGTTCCATCCAAAGTTGCCAAAACTGCCTCAACGAATGTGAAGATAGAATTTCAGACCTCGAAGACAAGATTGCAGCTAGTGAACAGGAAAGGAAAGATCTTTTAAAAATAACAAGGAATCAGGAAATAACAATTCAACAGCTGCAAGATGATGCAAAGAAAGACAACGCAATATTGATAGGAATAAACGAAAAAGAAGACAACAGCACAAATGACATCAGGAGGCTATTTACAGAAATAAGCGCTGAAAATTTCCCAAACATGAGAATGGAAACTGGAATACAGATAAGTGAAGCATCTAGAATTCCAAATAGCCATAACCAAAATAAGACTACACCCAGACATATAATAATCAACATTCCAGAAACCCAACATAAAAACAGACTATTAAAAGCTGTTACAGAGAAGAGACAGATCACCTAAAAAGAAAGCCTCTCAGAATTATAGCAGACTTCTTAGCACAAACAATGAAATCAAGAAGAGCATGGAGTGAAGTATTTCAGATCCTAAAGGAAAATGACTTCCAACCCAGATTGATGTGCCCTGAAAAATGGTCCTTCAAAATGGATGGAGAAATAAGATACTTCCATGACAAAGAACAGCTGAAGAACTTCATGACCACCAAAACCACCCTGCAAATACTGAAAGACTTTCTAAATAAACAGGAAAAACCACTACGTAAGGCAAGCAGCTAAACAGAGTGGAAAGGTAAAGAAACAATAGCAGAAAGATAACATGTCAAAAATAAACCAATATATATCAGTTATAACCATTAATGTAAATGGCCTCAATTCACCAATTAAGAGAAACAGAATGGTGAAATGCAGTATGGATCAAGAAACAACACCCAACCATATGCTGTATACAAAAAACCATCTAATCCAAAAGGAAACTCATAGACTGAAAGTCAAAGGATGGAAAACAATACTTCATGCAACAGGAACTCCAAAAAAGCAGGGGTAGCTATTCTGTTTGCAGACAATGTGAACTTCAAACCAAGAATGATCAAGAGAGATAGAGAAGATCACTACATACTAGTTAGAGGAAAACGTCAAAAGGAAGAGATAACAATCTTAAATATCTATGCACCAAATTCAGAAGCACACAATTATACAAAAAAAATAATTAACAGAAATGAAAAATCAAGTAAACAATAACACAATTATAACAGGAGACTTTAACACATCATTACACAAAGGGACAAATCAACTAGACAGAAAGTCAGCAAAGAAATAACAGAACTGAATCATACCTGGGAATAAATGGACTTGGTGGGTGTATACAGAGTGTTCCACCCAGCAACATCATAATATACATTCTTCTCAGCAGCATATGAGACATTATCTAAAATAGACCATATGCTAGCCCACAGAACATTAAGTAAATGCAAAAGAAATTATCCCATGCATGTTATTGGATCATAGCACCATGAAACTAGAAATTAATGACAAAAGAAAGTGCAAAAACCCCACAAACACAAGGAAATTGAATAATACACTCCTGAGCAATCAGTGAGTTACAGAGGAAATTAAAGAAGAAATTAAACAATATCTACAAGCAAATGAAAATACAAATACAACTTACCGGAACCTGTGGGATGCAATGAAGGCAGTCCTCAGAGGAAAATTTATTGTGGTGAATTCCCACATCAGGAACACAGAACGAACACAAACAACCTGATGCTACACCTCAAGCATCTAGAAAAAGAATGGCAAGTAAAGCCCAAAACCAAAAGAAGACAAGAAATTATAAAAATCAGAGCAGAAATCAGTACAACAGAGACTAAGAAAACAATACAAAGAATAAGTGAATCAGAGTTGGTGCTTTGAAAGATAAATAAAATTGATAAGCCCCTAGCCAACCTTATTTTAAAAAAGGAAAGGAAAAAACTCAAATTCATGCAATTAGGAACGAAAAGGATAAAATCACTACATACCCTGTGGAAATACAGAAGAGGTTTTTGAAATAGGTATTCATGATCTTCTATATTTCCACAGGGTGTGTAGTGATTTTATCCTTTTCATGCATAAAATATTGGCAAATAGAATGTGGCAAATCATCAAAAAGATACACCACAACCAAATGGGATTCATCTCAGGAATGCAGGGATGGCTCAACATACACAAATCAATAAATGTAATCCACCATATCAATAGAACCAAAACTAAGAATCACATGATCATTTCTTTTTTTTTTTTTTTTTTTTTTTGGTGGTACCGGGAATTGAACTCATGACCTCACACTTGCCAGGCAGACATATTATGCCACTGAGCTAAATCCCCAGCCCCTCGTATGATCATTTCTATAGATACAGAAAAAGCTTTTGATAAGGTCCAACACTTATTCATAATAAGAGCCTTACAGAAAATTGGAATAGATGGTCTTTACCTAATATGATAAAAGCCATCTATGACAAACCAACAGCCAGCATTATATTAAACGGCCAAACACTGAAAGCCTTTACCCTAAAATCAGGAGCAAGACAAGGATGTCCCTTATCATCATTCCTATTCAATATAGTGCTGTAAATACTAGCCAGAGTAATTAGACAAGAGAGAAATAAAAGGAGTAAGGATAAGAAAAGAAGTTAAATTATCATTATTTGTAGATGACATGATACTCTACGTAGAAGATCCTCAAAACTCCATTGATATTTTTTTTTTTGTACCTGAGATTGAACTCACAACCTTGCACTTGCCAGGCAGGTGCTTATGCCACTGAGCTAAGTCTCTAGCCCCCCAAAACTTCATTGAAAGACTCCTAGGTATAATAAATAAATTCAGTTATGTAGCTGGGTACAAAGTCAACATTCAAAAATCAATAGCATTCCTATACACAAACAACAAAATCACAGAGAGAAATAAGAGAAGCCACAATCTTCACAATAGCATCCAAAAAAATGAAATACTTAGGAATAAATCTAACAAAAGAAGTAAAAGATCTATTCAGGGAAAATTATAATATCCTGAAAAAAAGAAATCAAAGAGGACCTCAGAAAATGGAAAGACATCCCTTGTTCATGGATAGGAAGAACAAATATTGTGAAAATGGCCATTCTCCCAAAATTGTTATACAGATTTAATGCAATCCCAATCAAAATACCACTAGCATACCTCACAGATCTAGAGAAATCATTCCTAAAATTTATCTGAAACCAGAAAAGACCTAGAATAGTAAAGGCAATCCTGAGCAACAAAGGCAAGGCAGGAGGTATCACAATCTCTGACTTGAAGGTATACTACAAAGCTACTGTAATAAAATCAGCATGGTACTGAAATAAAAACAGCCCTGAAGATCAATGGAATAGATTAGAAGATACAACTACAACTATAAACACACACAGCCACCTCATCTTTGATAAAGGGGCCAAATACGTTCACTGGAAGAAAGATAGTCTATTTAATAAATGGTGCTGGAGGGGCTGGGGATTTAGCTCAGTGACATAAGCACCTGCAGAAACACTAAATCTTCTGGAAGACAAAGTAGGTAGAAATATTGAAGACATATCCATAGGTAGAGAATTCATGAACAAAAACCAAACCACACTGGAAATACTTCCCAGAATCAATAACTGAGATCACATCTTATTAAAGTTTTTGCATGTCGAAAGAAATCTCCAGCATAGTGAAAAGACAACCCAAAAATTATGGAAAAAAATCTTAGCCAACTGTTTCTCAGACAAAGGACTTTTGTCTAGAACATATAAAGAATTAAAAAAAATCAGACCCCTGAAATTCAAAGACCCAATCCAAAAATGGGCATCTGAGATGAATACACAGTTCTCAGATGAAGAAATAAAAATGGCAAATAAATACATGAAAAAATGTTCATCATCATTAGTCATTAGAGAAATGCAAATTAAAACCACACTGAGATTCCATCTCACTCCAGAAAGAATAGCCAGGATCAAGAAAACTACCAACAACAAATGCTGGAGAGGCTGTGGGGTAAAAGGAACTCTTCTGCACTGTTAGTGGGAGTGTAGACTGGTGCAACCACTGTGGAGGTCAGTTTGGAGGTTCCTCAAACAGCTGGGATTGGAAGTCCTATTTGACCCAGCTCTTCCACTTCTGGGCATATTCCCAAAAGAATTGAAAACATCATATCACAGTGATATATGTACATACATGTTTATAGCAGCACAATTTGTAATCGCCAGATCTTGGAAACAACCTAAATGCCCATCAACTGAGGAATGGATAAAAAAGATGTGGTATTTTTATACAATGGAGTACTACTCAGCTATAAAGAATGATCACATTGAGATATTTATAAATAAATGGATGCAACTTGAGACCATAATCATAAATGAAATAAATCAAACTCACATGTGTAAATACCATATCATCTTCCTAGTGTAAGAAATGGTAAGAGTACATACATAAGATACAAAATCCTCAATAAATACAGTGAAAGGATAAGAATCTGCTTAAAGGGGAAAAATAATATCTCAGGGAAAAGGAAGAACAAGAAAAAGGAAGGGAAACGAAAAAACATCTAAAATTGTATAAACACACTTTAGATGGCTAAGATGATTGTGCTACAAATTCTGTAAGTTCTTGAAACAAAACAGTTAACATTCATAGGATTGGAACAATTTTGCATGTTAGTGTCTGGTGATCTAAGGAACTCTTGAAGATCATTATGTAAAATAACAACCTGGTTATGCTCCTACCACCTTGTTTTGAAGGCCTATATCATCATTGTTTTGGGCTCTTTGCTATTGTTATTTTTCTTTTTTGTTTCATGTTTTTCTAGTAATTTGTTTTGTTTTGTTTTTGCCTCTAATACAGAAAGGATAGATATACATGTAGAGGCTTATACATGCATAGAACTTCCCCTAAACAGTTTATAAGAATCGGTTATATTATGCATGATGAAATGAACAGCTACTTTGAAGAAAAGACATTATGGTATCCACTGCTGATTCCGTATTGTCATGCTGTGAAATCCAGTGATGCTTTTATTCTTTTCCAGAGTGATTTTAGTCTGTTTTGTTTTGCTTAATTTCTACATACATGAAGGTATGGACATCTATTTTGAAGAGAACAAAGACATTATGGCAGCCATTGTTGATTTCCCTATTGTCTGGTTTTGAAGGCCTGTAATGCCTTCATCACTCTATTCTGATCAGTTTAATACTATTTTGTTTTGTATGAATTCATTGTGTGTGAAGATATTGGACAACTATTTAGAAGAAAACAAGAGACATTATCGTAGCCACTATACATCTCCTGTTGTCTTGCTTTGAAATCTGTGTCACTTACATTATTTTCTTCTCATCCTCTTTGTTCTATTTTGTTATGTTTGGTTTTATCCTCTTTAAAATAAAATAATAAAAAATACAAAGAATCAATGGATGGAAAAGCTGGTTTTTTTTTAAAAAAAAGAAATAAACAGGGCTGGGGATTTAGCTCAGCGGCATAAGCACCTGCCTTGCATGCACCCAGTTATGAGTTCAATCCCCAGTACCAATAAATAAAATAAAATAAAATAAGCAAAATAGACAAACCTTTAGCCATTCTTATAAAATAAAAGATAAAGGGGCTGGGGATTTAGTTCAGCGGCATAAGTACCTGCGTTGCAAGCAGGCAATCGCGAGTTCAATCCCTGGTACCGATAAAAAGGAAAAAGACAATAAATTAATTAATTAATTAATTAATTAAAAATAAATAAAAAATCTGAATCAATACAATCAAAAATGAAAAAGTGAAATTACAGCAGATACTGCCAAAATCCAGATTATTAGAAACTATTTTGTATATCTCAACTCCAAAAAACTGGAAGATTTAGAAGAAATGAATAGATTTCTTACATCAAATGAGTTATCAAAACTGAACCAAAAAGATATAAAAACCCTGACTAGCTGGTCATGGTGGTGCACACCTGTAATCTCAGCCCTCAGGAGGCTGAGGCAGAAGAATCACGGCAAGTTCAAAGCCAGCCTGGGCCCCACAGTCTATCTCAAAGAGAAACAGAGAGAGACAGAGAAACAGAGAGCCAGAGACACACAGAGAGAGTCAGAGAGAACGTCAGATCTTGTCAAAGGCCTATTTTCTGATGTTCCTTTTAAGTATTGTGGTCAGCCTTTTATTTAACAGGCACTCCTGCCTCAGGCAACAGGGATGTTAAAGAATTTGCTGCCGGGGAGGGGGACAAAAAAAAAAAAAGAATTTGCTGCCAAGGGTTTAGAGACAGTTTTCCAGCTTTCCAGACAGTTTGAGTCAGGTCAAATAAAGATTAGCCCTGTTTCTGGATGTGGTAGCACAGACCTGGGACCCCAGCACTTGTGTTACTGGGGTTAAGGGTGCTGGTGTTTCCTTCCAGAAGTGGCCTGCATAGTCTTTCAGTCCTGACAAAGAATTGGTCAAGTCAAGAGCAAATGATAGCAAAGTTTTACATGTATTAAAGGTAGAGAAAGAAACAGGCTCTGCAGAGCACGTTTAGGCCAAGCAAACATAGTAAGAAAGTGAGCTACTCTGAAAGAACACAGCAGTGGAGGGCTCAGTGTGAACTGTCCTTTTGATATCTCCCCCTCCTCAGGCTGGCATCAGGTCTAGGCCATCCTATGGGAAACCTGCTGGAGTTCTCACAACAAGTCCATGTAAAGAGCTTTGGGATTTTAAAAAATTTTATTTATTTTGAGATATGAGACATGATCTTCCTGTGTAGTTCTATGTGGAGCCTCCTGTCTCAATCTGAGTGCAGGGATTACAGGCATGTGCCACCATTTCTACCATTTTGTTTCTTCTTCTTCTTCTTCTTCTTCTTCTTCTTCTTCTTCTTCTTCTTCTTCTTCTTCTTCTTCTTCTCCTCCTCCTCCTCCTCCTCCTCCTCCTCCTCCTCCTCCTCCTCCTCTTCCTCTTTCTCCTTCTCCTTCTCCTTTTTCTTTTCTTTTTAGTTTTTCTAGACAGGTCTCACTCTGTAGTTCAGGCTGCCTTGAACTCATTATGTAGCTCAGGCTGGCATTCTGCCTGCCTCAACCTCCCAAGTGCTGGAATTATACCAAGCATGTGCCACCAGACCTAGTTTGGGATTTTGTAATGAACAGGTCATGCCTATCTGCTATGCTCTATTCTCCTGTCTCACTTGGAAGACTGAAATAAAGGAGTGGGGGTGGAGGTTTAGCTCAGGGCATAAGTGCCTGACTGGCAAATGTGAGGTTATGAGCTCGATTCCCAGTACCACACACACACACACACACACAAAAGCCAGATGTGGTGATGAATGCAGCCTTTTCTTTTTCCTTGTGAGATGAGACCTTATTATATTGCTCAGCTTGGTCTTGCATACCGAGGCTTAAATGATTCTCCTATCTCAGACTCCCAAGTGGCCAGGACTGCAGATGCACACTGCAGAGGGCCCTGCCACCCCATGAGGCCGGGCAGGTCAAATAGTGACAGTGCTCTAGGGATGGAGCTTTTGGGACTCTGCAAACCCATTCTGCCCCCTCTAGTGGCAGCTAGGCTGCTGAATTTCACAGTCACAGTGAAAGTGAGTGAAGATTACTGAGGAACTGGAGAGAAGAAACAAGAAAAATGCTACAGAGTTCACTGTTCTTACCGAAATTCAGTCATTTTTCTTAACTGTTTCTTAGATGTTTGAATGCTTTGGTTAATTTCAAGAGTTAAAAGTTGATTTTGACAATTTTTGCCAGTGTTCTAGCTGCTTTTATGGAGGAATGAAAGTTCAAAAGTCCTTACTCTGCCCTTGAGAAGTACTACTCCTGATTACTTCTATTTTAAGAAGTATAAAGCTTTAAATGATATTTATAACTCATAGTATAAATTGTACTCTAAACAGTAAGACATAAAAATTGGTTTTTTGTTTGTTTGCTTGTTTGCTTCCTGTGTGTTTTCCTCTGATAGCAGAGTTTGGGTCCTTACTCAATCTGAAACTGAACTTCCACTTCTCAGAAAACCTTTTTTTTTTTTTTTTTTTCTTAAGCGTTTCTGGGGGGTGGGGAAGGAGCCTTTCTGCTGACTCACATCAAACTCTTGGTGATGATTTAACCTGAGTCCAGACTGGAATGTAGCTCGGAGGTAGAATATATGCCTAACAGAACAGATTAGAGAGACAGGAGTTAGGAAGTAAGGAGAGTGGTCCCCACAGGGGGGTGCTGACGCACAGCCCAGCATCTTCTCTGTGTTGTTTTGTTTGCTTGTTTGTTCATTTGTTTGTTCTGAGACAGGGTTTCACTATGTAGTTCAGGCTGGCTTCAAACTCATAGCGATTCTGCTGCTTCAGCCTTTCAAGTGCAGAGATTACAGGTATGCCTCACCATGCTCCGCTGCCTCCAGGGATTTTATAAAAACATCTGCCAAGACTTCCCCAGAACATGATCATGTGGGCCACTGGCTCAAGGGTAAAGATCCTACATGCACACTGTGTGAACACTGCACAGATTGGAACCCCCAAAATACATAATCTCCTTCAAGGTAGAAAATATATTCCTTACACAATGACTCAAGACCCCCACTAAGTCCCTTAAAAACCCCTAGACTAAGAGCCCTTGTAGGTTATTCAGAACCCCCTCCTGCTAGCAGAAGCTTTACATTCCTGCCTTTATATCTTTTAAATACATTTGGCCATACCTACGTCTTCCATCGGAGGTTTTATTCTTTATCACTAGAGGACACAACCGCTGCATTCTGGTAACACAAGCATGCTCCAGGGCCTGGGACTGATCCCCAGCACCAAAAAAAAAAAAAAAAAAAAAAAAAAAAAAAAAAAAAAGGCTGGGGCTGGGGGTGTAGTCAGGAGTAGAACACAGGTTTAGCATGCCTGAAGTCCTGGAGTCATTCCCAGAACCACAAAACAAACCTTAAACAAAGGACAGGAAGTCTCATTTTAGGGAAGTTATAATTACTAATGAGAAGTTGATATAAAATACAGTTTTCTTATTAATAACACAGCCAAGACTAAGGCCATTTTCTGACAAGATTTTTTTCTGGTGTCCCTGAAGATCAGCCCCTGAGGGCGGGGAT